TGTGTGTGTGTGTGTGTGTGTGTGTGTGTGTGTTATATATGAGTATATAGATTTGATTTAACCAGGTAGATCTCCCTTAAATTTAGATTTTTATGGGAGACTTTAAAGTGTCCCTTAAAAAAAGGAGATTTTAAGGTCTAATTATTTTACCTATACATATCTATTCCACTCAATTAATGTGTGATTTATTTATTTTCTATTATAAGTTTTATATCGTGATATAATTGTTACCGCCACTCATCATAATGTATATCGTGATATGAATTTTTTGCCATATCGCACATTCCTAACTTAAAAACTTATTTTTTTTATTTAAGGAGAAATTTCATGTCACCGTGTTGAAAGGGTAACAACGTGCTCTGTTACGTTATGCCCTTTTTCAGCAATAACATTAATTTTTCTTTAATACCTTTCAGGTCATCTGAACAGCTGATGAAGTTCTTCAGCTATTTTTTAAACTCCTGTTAACATATTATAATGTTAACGTGTTCATTGAATAATTTTTCTATGTTTATTACTGTGATTATTCTCACTTTAATAAAACTTCTCTTGAACATTCACCTCTGAGACTTTTTAATTCTTACTTCACCACAAGCCGTGAGCAGTGGATGGAACAATAAAATTAAATTAAATTGTTAAAATCWCTTAATAAATGGTACACAGATATTCTCACAAAGAATAACTCAACGCTGTAACTCAATGTTTTTTAATTCACAATTTTTTCTCATAAAACCTCTGATTTTGGACTCCAAACACCCCCAGCTTTGTTCCAGATGCCAGGAAAATGCATTCTCATGTTCTAAACTTATATTTTATTCTGGGAACCCCCTGAGACTGTGCATAAGTCTTCATCAGTCTCTGATATCCTTCAAAGCAGACAGAGTTTATAATCATTTTTTATGGTTTTGATTAGTAGTTCCTCAGACTTTCTGGAGGTCTTSTGTTACGATTGAGCTAGGTTGGTTTGAACCCCAAGATGCAGAACTGAATGAGGTGGCAAAAAAGTGATTTGTTAAAACAAAAACAAAGGTGCTGACGTGGCAGCAAACAAGAACAAGGGCTTTGGACAGGCAGAGATCTGACAAACACTGAAGACACTGAACAGAATATAAAGGGAAAACTAATGAGCTAAAACAAGAAACACCTGGGGAAGAAACATGAGGATCAGGTGTGAGTGGGCGGGGCTGGAGCACAGGCAGACAGGAGGAAGAAAACAGARGAGGAAAAGACAGAAAACTGGAACAAAACATTAACAAAGACACCAATCATAACATCTTGTAAAGCTTTTTCACCCATTTTCATTCCTATCTTTTGGCTGATCACATGGTACGCAGTGAATGAAAAAGCAGAAGGACTCAACAAGTCTTGAATATTATAAAAAGATGAGTGTTTTTGTCCTGTTACTAGAAACAGACTAGAGTAGTGTGTAGCAGACGTACGTGAAGTCTTGGAGGATGACACGAGCCGGTCTGAAAGGGACCTCCACAGTTTGAGTCTGGGTCAGTTTCCAGTTCAGGATGCTTTCYACATCAGAGCACTTCACTAGAAACTCATCACAGTTCCTGACAGCAGACTCCAACAGGACCCGGATGGAGAACGGCAGACGCTCTGAGGAACACAGAGACGGTTAAAACTCTGAATATAAACAACATATGGCAACATTTATTTTACAGCTGAAATAAAAGACAGTCGCTGTTACCATATCTTGGATCTCCAAGCTTGGTGAGGTTATAAAACCGTTGGTTTGCTTCTTTGGGGTCGAGAGGTTCAACAATATGTTGAAAAGGATTTTTCTCAGTTGCAGACATTATCTTCTATGTATGTAGAAATCTATATAAAAAATAAGCAATATATAAAAGAAAAAAACATTTTTAAAAAGCTGGATTAACACGGCATACTCTTTACAAGTATAGAAAAACAGACCACCTTCTTTCAAATCCAACCTCAGCTGTATAAAAACACACAACAGACCACCATGTTAGTAATTTTTAAATAAAAATGAAGTTAAAATGTTTCATCTGCTTCCACAGAGGTTCAGGATCAGGAGATAAATCACCTCTAAAAAAGGAAGAGTTGTGTCAGTTTGCTGCTCTGAGGCAAACAGGCGAGTGTAAACACAACGCCAAGTAGGAAAGACATCAGCAATTAAACGCAACTGTTGCTGCCCGTCAATCTGGGAAGGGTCAAAGGTCATTTTCAACCTATCCAGAGTCAA